AAGAAAGAGAATTCTAGGCGATAAACGAAGTTATTAATACCTCTTGGCGTGCTTTTCTTCTCACTATATCCAATGGCCGAGCATCAGTAAGTCATCAGTATTTTTTGAATTAGCATAATTACTTAAAGTCATTGAATATCTAATGCACTTTGAATATTTTATGTGCATCACAGTTTTAGAATGATTTGTGAAAGCCTTGAATCCTTCCCCACCATACTTCAGCAGTGAGTTACAAAAAACACAATATGCTTGCCAGCAACATTTATTTTCTTGCACCATGTGCCGATGGTATTCCCATTACCATCTCTCCGTTCAATCCAATTCCACCTAAATGCATTCCGGACACCTTCTTCTAATTGTATAATATCACTATTTATATTGAGAAATTTCATAGTGAAATTCTCTTGCGTACATAAATAAAAAAATATTTCAATAAACGAAACGAAAAATTTACACGTGCATCAATAAATGAAACGAAAACTTTACACAGCGGAGAAAAAAAAGTTGAGAAGCGATCAATGACAAATAGCTAATACGGCGAAAAATCCCCCTTCTCTACTTATTGGCGCCACACCAGGAGAGATAAGACCTTTGAACCCAGAGTCACGTGATCGCACATCTGGTCGAACGAAGTCTCTCCCTTTTTTTTTCTGCTGCGCCTACTTGCCGAAAAGAATCCAGAAGAGAATGTCTGAGAACCGGGGGAATGAGTCATAACTCGCAAAAAGGAAAGAACAAAAAAGAAGTTTTTTCCCCCTTTTCACGCATTATCACTGCCTTTGGAGAAAGAAAGGAAACGTTTTCACCACACACACTGACCTTGCGTTTTCTGCTTTCAAAGCAAACAAAATTACCCAGATCAAAATAAATAATTCATTATTATTTTTATTTCCTTTTGAACGAATCAAAGTTCAAAATCCCCGGAGCACAAACACCCCTGGAAAGTGGTCTCCATAATTCTTGATTTTTCTGTTGTAAAACTGCTCCTGTACCTATTGTTGATGCGTCAACGTGTAGAGACATTAGGTTATTTTTTGGAAGCAGAAGAGATGAAAAATATGCAACGCCTTCACCAGGAATCAAACCGTGCACCTCTGGAGTACCAGCCCAATGTGCAGAACAACTACACCACGAAAGCACACTAGAAAAGCAGGAGAAATACCTTATATACTCCCCTTTTTAAAGGGCGACTGGGGTTTTGAGGGGATCCAATCGCCAAATCCTGGGTGTGGAGAATCCTCATCCAACACCCCTTTTAGTTTGGGTGCCACTGTAGAGACATTAGGATATTTGGAAGCAAGAGAGATTGAAAAATTAGCATCCGCCTTCGCCAGGAATCGAACCGCAGACCTCTGGAGTACCGGCCCAGAGTGCAGAACCACTACACCACGAAGCCACGCAAGTGGGAGAAATACGTTATAAACGTAGAGTGATAATGGTTTCGATGTGCAAGGATACTGCAAATTTGTTGCCAAAATTAAATCATTTTTGCATTTTTGGAACACTTCGTAAGATTCTGTGGTCTAGGTTATAACACGTTTATCGTTTTTCTTGATTCCAAACAAAAGAAGTATTTAGAGGTGTTTGTATGGTTGCTGCATGAAGTAAGAAACATTGACAAAAATTGAGTATAGCAAGAAATCTTCTTAAGTCCTTCACTGTAGATGGTTCGAACATATCGTGGATAGCGGTGACTCTATCTGGAAGGGGTCGAACGCCATCAGCAGAAATTTCATGACCAAGAAAGGATCTCTTGGTTGGCCAAAAATGCATTTGGAAGGATTAATACTGACACTGTACCTTTGAAAATGTAAAAAAACTGTTCTCAAATGTGATTAGTCTTCTTGCTCTGAAGAGGAGGTGATGAAGATGTCATTAAAATAAGGAACACAAAAGTCGAGGCCGTTTAACACCTGATTCATGAAGCGTTGGAACTCTAAAACTTATATACAGTCTTGAATGTGCGGCACTGTGTAATGATTAGGAATTGTAGCTGCATTTAACCAGCAATAATCGCCACTTACCATTCCGTTTCTGAACTAGATGGAGCGGACTGGCCCATGAACTTTTTGAAGGACGGCAAATTCTCTGTTCTATCATGTATTGAAATTCCTCTTTGGCGGCTTTAAGCTTGTCTGTTTTTATAAAAAGTAAGCTTGAACTTTCGATTATGTCGAAAAGAGTTTCCGGTTCTGGAGCTGCCAAAGGATCTACAAAGCGAAAGCATGTTTCGATGTCCATCAAACAAAAAGTAGAATTGCTGCAAAAAATGGATAAATACACATACTTTGTTTCTCTAACCATTCCAAAATCTGTTTATTAATTTCACGCTGCTCTGTGGGGGGGGGACGTCACGGCGCGGGGCGCAATGAACTAGAAGTTGATCTGTCAGTATCTTTATCTTCAGGGCAGAGGTTTTTATTTTATTCAGCTTATAATTTCTTACTAAATGTAGTGTTTCATCTGGGTTTACTCCGTCTTTGATAAGATTTAAATCAAATTCCTCGTCATTATAAATATCACGAATACACATCAAATAGTTCTCTGGTTGCAATTTTCTAATTTTGACTATGCGTAATGTATGCTTTGTGCATGCACGCGTTGAAAGAAATGTTTAATAAAGTAAACAAATAAATATTAAGCTTTTTTTTGTAAATTTTGATACCCTTTAGATCCTAATTGTTTTTTATTTCATAAATTACAGTTTCATATTTTTAATTGTATAATTTTTGCATGCCATCTTACCAGATTTAAATTGATAATCTACAATCTGGAAAAACCCCTATTCCAGAATTGCCGAAGTCTCGATGAGTCCAGATTAAAGACTTTGTACCGCATATAGCAACATACCAAAGTTCATTTAAAACAGACACTTTTTGACGGTCACAATTCATTAATGCACACTGCTAATAATACATCAGACACATTTTCATGGCCAGTGTGATGTCTGAACATAAACTCTGTTGGGTAGGACTCCATGTGATGATGAACCATACCCTTGTTTTTTTGTTTTTTTTTCCCTAACATGGACTAAGATGGAAAATTGAAAATAGAAAGCATATTAAATATTTTGCAATGAAAAACAAGAAATTTTCACTAGCTGAAAAAACATAAATTATATGCACATGTACAGATTGGTAACCATTTGTTTCTTGACGAGAATGAAACATGCCAATTCCATGTCTCATTGAGACAACTATAGCGCAGAAGTGCCGAAAGGAGTTTTGCTTATACAGTCAAAAGTCGTTAATCCGGACTCGTCGGGACTTCGATTCCGGATTATCGATTTTTCCGGATTATAGATCATCAGTTTAAATCTGGTAAGATGGCATGCAGAAATTCTAAAATTAAAAATATGAAACCGTAATTTATGAAATAAAGAACAATTATGATCTAAAGGGTATCAAAATTTGCAAAAAGAAAAAACTTAATATTTATTTGTTTACTTTATTAAACATTTCTTTCAATGTAAGTTGTTTAAGCTTTGCTTCGTTTCATGTGATAATACTTTCTCTTTAATTCTATTAAACAAACATAATTTCTTGTTCAGTTACAAAGTTCCGCTGTTCAAGTCCTATAATTGCTGTGTCAAGAACACCGACTAATTTGTCAATCGAAATTTTTTCGTTTTCAATAACCTCTGTTACTTTTCTTCACTATCGGAAGCGAATTATAATAACGAGAAACTTGTTTTAAATCATATCAAAGACGGAGCATATCGAGATGAAATACTACATTTGGTAAGGAATTATAAGCCAAATAAAATAAAAACATCTGCGCTGAAGATAAGGATAGTGCTGACAAATCAACTTCCAATTCATTACGCGCCCGCCGCTGCGTTCCCCCCGCCGAGCAGCGTGAAATTGATAAACAGATTTCGGATTTCAAACATACTTTCATACTTTCGCTTTAGATCCTTTACATATTAACAAATATATATCAGAAAATTCTATTTGATATAATCGAAAGTTTAAGCTTACTTTTATAAAATTGCTCTTACAGTCTGCAAAAAATAATAAGCCGGATCCAATTCGAAAATTAAGGAACAACGCAATCATCAACATTAACTGAAATAGATAATTAGATAATTTTAGCTTATACGTCTATTATACATAAAACGCGCACGCGAAAACGTATTCTGCACTTGCGCACACTCATATGCGCAGTCGTAAAAGGTCTTACGCGCACGCGTAAACGTCTATGCGCATGTGTTAGCGCGGCGCATGCGCAGAAAGTTTTTAGTTTTGAGGTCCGGATTATAGATCATTCCGAATTATGGGTGTCCGAATTATCGACTTTTGACTGTATAATTATAAGGTTAAACTGCTGCATGTTTCAATTGACAATGGTTAAATAGCATAAATATTTATCACTCACCAAAATTACCAATTTCACAAAAATATCATTAAAAGCAAAATAAAGAAAACTCCTTAATGTTGTCAAACCATCTGGCTGAAAGCCATGTCATGTATTTTGGCTTTGGTCACATCAGCTGGTGATACTAGAAGCTGGTGATACTTAACCATAATATATGCATTCAAATCAAACACTGACATTTGAAGGTAAATTTATGTAGACCAATTTCAGATACTGCATTAAAAAGTCTGTGTATAAAAAATTATAAATCACATGATATCAGCTTTTTAAGCAAATCATATTTTATGAAAAGCACACTGAAATGTAAAAAATGCTGTCAATAATTGTTTTAACAGGTTTGTTGTAATTTGTAAAGAAATAATTAATCCTAAAACTTTGTGGATATGTATGTGTACATCAATTGATTTCAAATAATAATATTTTTTTTTCAAGGTAATGGTATCTTAATATGTGTATACCTGTATAATGAAGAATCATATTTGATATACAAAACTATTCAGCTGTCTATACCCTGACACTATGGTGCTTTCCAACTGTTTTAGGTATGCCTCCCCCAATTTGGTTTATAAGTTACATAAAGTAAATTGTGTCAATATGCAAAGATAATGCTTTGTTATTCATACCTGTTATATCAGCATGCATTTGAACATAGAAAGGATTCTTTGCTAAACCACCACAAACGAGCAAACATTTGATAGAATGTCCTGTATTTTCTAATGAGGTAATGATATGTTTTGTGCTATACTAAAACAGATATAATGAATTGTAAAAGCAATTACAACTAATTTAAACAGATAGGAAATATAAAAAATACACAACATTTCAAAAATATATCACTTCAAAATATTTTATGATTATTTTTACTAGATTAGATTAGTAAATGAAATTTTAATTAAGTTTGAAATAATATTTATTTAAAATTATGCACAGTTATATACGACAACCTTAAATTAGCTTCCAAAGGCAATCAGACACGGAGTATGTCCCTTTTTTTTACTACAAAAAAGTTTTGCTTCTGATGATTAGGGACATATGTCAGCCCCCCCCCCCCCCCCCCCCCCAAAAAAAAATAATTTACAAGCAGAGATCAATTTAACATTTGATAACAGAAGTTGCTAACATTTGTACCTAGAGGAAAAGGATCTCTGTCTGATCGCCTTCAAAATCTGTACTAATTAAAGTTCTTTTTAGCCTAATTTAAAATTTTACATTGGTATATTTATCATCTGAGAAATACTTATTTGTTTACTCAATTAATAAATACTTATTTTGGAACTATTCTTATATGCGCCCTCAGGTCGCCAAATTTCTCGCCAACCACGGTGCGATATTACTATTTAAATTTTTTATTTATATGTCGAACTTTAAGCCTAAAATGTCTCCAAAAACCACGCTTTAAATACACAATTTAAGCTAAAAATCTGAAACAAAAACAAAAAATTTAGATAGCAAAAAAGTAAAGTTTCTAACCAAAAATATTTCACAAGAACCCATATACACAGCAATATGTTTTGACTCTATGAACTACACACACCTCGCTTTAATAAATTAATATAGCAACAATAAATTTCAAAGAATACCATGTACACAGCATTCTGTTTAAACTTAAAAAAACATCTACGAATTGCATAATCTAGGTATTGCGCACAAAATCAACCAAATAAACTAAAATAAATTACAAACAATTCAAATAACAACAGAAATTCATAGTAAAAAAACAATGAACATAACACTCTACAAAATAAAAACAATAAAATAAAATGCACTTACCATAATGTGTGTAAAATATGTGAATAAAATTTCACCAGTCACACAAAGTCTGTGAACAACTCACATGACATCTGTGATAACCAATATGTGAATAAAATTTCACCAGTCACACAACGTCTGTGAACAAAAGTGCCACGATTTTGCTATATCACATGTCTTTCTGTGATTCAAAATTTTGAAAGTAACGATAAAAACTTTCTCCAAAATTAACTTACTGCACGAAAACCACAATCCAAATCTTAAACTCCGCTGACAGCCACATACTATACCAGCAACCATTTGACTGCAAACCCACACAAGTCTATCAGAAAGACCATTCTTTGTCCGAGTTCTCATACCAGCTCCGCATTTCGGACATGCAAAACTCTGTTTTAAAAGTTCTGACTCTACAGAAATTCCAAAAATGCACTTTTATTCGCATAAACACGCCTGTGAACAAAAGACTCGTTAACAACTCCAACATCGTACCTTTTAATACTAAATTTACTTTGCACACAATCTAAAATACGCGACTAAAATCTTGCCACCCCGTCTTTCATTGCAACATTCAAAACATGCATGACACGAACCAATGAGCACAATGTCAAAAGGGTTGCCATACAAACAGCATTGTCCACCAAACCATCCTACAGCACAGAATCGTGCCAAAAACCAGCGCAGAACACATATCGCCACATTTGGTGATCTTAAAATGCATATAAGAGTACAGCCCTTATTTTTTATATGAAAAATGTTTATAACTTTAATATAAACCATATTTAAAAATATTTTCAGATTGCTTTAAAAAGCTGAGTATAGTAAATATAATTTTTAGTTGAACACTAAATGTCATTTTCTTAAGTAAAAACTTATTTTTCCTATTAATGGTGATCATGTATTATTTAACTAAGGCAAAGCATATAAGAGTTAAACTGTATTACATTATAATCTAAAGAACCTTACATCCTTGTTTTCTTACCATCAGCCTCATGAGAGGGCCTTTGGTAGGACATATTTTAAGTATTTTCATATTTAAGTAGTTCACTAACAATAGGTCCACCCCCAATTTATTTCATATTTGAAACTACTGTTTTTAAAAAATTCTTAAAAGCTTTGTTTATAAAGCATTATAAGAAAGCAGATTAAACCTGACAGAATACAAAGTCATTATCTTCTGATTCTGATTATTTAAGACCTTCAATATTATTGAAATAACTATGTTTACATTTATGGGCAATGTAATTCAATAGTAATATAGACCATACGTTTAAAAATATTCACAGAAAGATTATCAGGGTAACATACCGCCAAGGCCTGAACAGTAGCAATGTACTGCTTCACTAGATCATCTACCTTAGAAGACAGAGTCAATCCACATATCTGATACAAGGAAAAAAAAAGAAAATGTTTAAAATGTTTAATTTTCTATATATCTTTTAATAAAAATTCACTTTTCTAACACATTAATTAAGGCTGTATTATGATACTATACATCTTTATAATATCAGTATTATGTACTATAATATTCAATGAATGAGATTATCTGCAAACAAAAAGTAGTATGTATTATCTTGTCAAACAGTATAATTTTACGTAAAACAAAAATACGTCATCAATGTGCATACATAACATCAATAAGAAAACATCCTAGCAAAAGGATTAAACCAACAAACAAAATTCATATAATAATGCAAATAACCATGCAAAAAAATTCAGCATAAGACAGCCAGCATCCTTCTACTACTGTTAAAGACTAACTAAGGAAAAAAATGTATATTGCAAATTATTGAATGTATTATTAACTACCTGTGGGACAAACTTCAATAAAGATGGAAATATGACATCAATTTTAAAATTTCTGCACACTTAGAAATAATTTAGCTATTATACAACATTACTTTTACACCAGAACTGTCACATTCTGTCAAACATACTGAAAGAAATTACATACAGTACAAAGTCTGTAATCCGGACGTCCATTATCCGTAATGATCTATAATCTGGACCTCAAAGCCACAAACTTTTTTGTGTATGCTTTACGCATGCGCGTTTAATGTTTATGTATGCGTGTTTAGCACAAAAAACTAAGCAACTTAAACAACTTACATTGAAAGAAACGTTTAATAAAGTAAACAAATAAATATTAAGCTTTTTTTGTAAATTTTGATACCCTTTAGATCATAATTGTTCTTTATTTCATAAATTATGGTTTCATATTTTTAACTATATAATTTCTGCATGCCATCTTACCAGATTTAAATTGATAATCTATAATTCGGAAAAACTCTTAATCCAGAAATGGCGAAGTCAAGACGAGTCCAGATTACAGACTTTGTACTGTATATGTTATAGGAAATGTTTGGAAACAATAACAATAATACAAAAAATTACATGAAGTTCCAAGAAAGAAAATCTGTTAAAAATTTTACTTCAGACACCTTTTATAATACTTTTAATTTATAAAATAAATGTATAGTATAATTTTTACTATCATTTGCTTATTTTGGCAAAATTAAAAATTTTACTTTTTATATTCATTTATGAAAATAAGTAAAAAGTAAAGAATACTTTCCACTTATCCACAATCTTATGAAAAATCTTCATTTGGATATCTTTATGGATACTAAGTATTGATCTACTCAGAAATAATAGTAAAAAGCATTTTATAAGAAATGTTTTGAGAGGGAAAAAAAATCTGTATGGCTGATATTTACATTTTTACAGCTGGCAGATACTGCTCAATGAATTGATGGTTAAATATAAAGTGTGCAAATTCCTGTGTATTTAAGCATATGTATAGCATACACATGCATTAGATGGCTTCTTTTGGCTTTATATAACCAGTAAAATAATACATCTGTGAATAACTAAAAAGTAACAAATTTGTTTATTTTGCATTATTATTTCGCATTATTATTATACATGTTTCACTTTATGATTTTTAGTCAGTATTATGTTATAATAACTTTTTTATTTAAATATTGAATTTTTATGTAGAGAGCATGAAAATCTTAATCAGCAAGTCTTCTTGAGACCATATTTTTATTGAGTCTTTGTATGTATAAATGCTTTTGAAATTAATTTAAAGTTATACAAAATCTGTGAATAGATAAATAAATATAGTATATCCTCTATTTCGGTTGCAAGCAGTTCCTGAGCACAAGCAATCAATGTTCATTTCATAACTGTTTTACTTAGCTTAAGGAAATTTACTTTTGTATATAATAACAATGGCAGTTTGCATATATTAAGACATACTCAACTCTACATTATTTTAAAGCCAAATCAATTTTTTCTCATTAGAGGAGGGTTCCTTTAATGAGAAAAAATTGATTTGGCTTTAAAATAACATAAAGGTGAATATTCTTTTAATGAGAAAAGATGCTTAGTAAATATATTTAATGCTTAAGGTAACGTAACATTTTTTCGATGACTGTCATCCTCTCAATCTATATGAGGTTGAGTCTACGGAACTCTACTAGAGAATGAAAACTACTTAATGAATATTTTTTCACATGAAAGTAATATGAAATGAATAGCAGTGTGTTTGCTAACATACAGAACCTATATGGTGATTTAAGAAAAATCAAACTTCCCTTAATACTTGAAACCAATCTACAAAAGTTACTTCTTTAAAAATGATTTCTCAGAAAAAACACTAAAGATCTCTAGATTCTACAAAAGACAAATTAAGATCAGAATAAATATGTATATATATGCAATTTATTTATTATGTCATTAACTTGTTGCAAATGTATTTCCATTTAACAGAATTACAGAAGTAGATACTGTTCATGAAGAAATGCTACTTCTTAAATGATGGCAATATTTCTTCATTTTATAGCAAGAGTTATTCTAATATCAAGGAAGCAGATGCATATTTTATATGTTTCAATTTTTTGCATTTATTGCCTTGTGATATTCAGCATTGTATAATATAATATTACTCCATTTGATTCGTCCAGTAAAATATAGTAAAAAAATTAAATTCTTTATATTTGTTATATTTTTTTTATTTTAAAATTTGATTTTTTTTAATTTTTTAAAATTTTTTAATCTTAAATTTTATTTAATTTTTATTTATAAAAATCCATTACATTTACTATGTTTTTACTTTTTTCTTTTTTTATTAATATCTATACACAAGTGTAAAGCATTAAAAATAACATGAATTAGGTTCAGTTTTATATATAAATATTAACAATGACAAATAATTTTTTGTCCAATGAATTATCAGTATGATACCTAGGAAACACTACTCTATACCTAATACCATCAAAATAATATTTTTAAACAATAGTTTTTGAAGAAACAAAACATTAGAAACTAAAGGTTACCATTCCTTTTAAACTTGGATTAGCTAAAGGTGATCGATTCCCATGATAATCTGGATACACATGGTAATCTGAAGTCAGCAATGAAACAGACGGCAGACCCTTGATTTTACTCAATTTAATAGCAGACTCATTTAACATGTCTGTTATATGCCTGAATAGCAAAAGACTACAATTAAGAAAAATTATTTTTATTAACATTCCAAATAAAAAATATTGTAAATATCAATAAGAAACTTGAGACACTAGACCAGTGTTTCCCAACCTTTTTTGCACTATGCCCCACCTAATCCTCTCTAAAATTTTTAAGCTTCCCCTAGCATATACATAATTTTTAATATTTAAAAATTGAAATGTTCATGATAGAAACTCGAATGATAGCTTTTAGGAAGAAATGACTGTGAAATTTTGTGAGCAAACACAGTAAGTGAACTTTAAAAACATGGAGAACTGAAATTCAAGAAGTGAAAGTTTTTTATTTTAAGTATTAGTAATTTTTATTATTTAAATTTAGCGAGTTCCTTGCGCTTGATACTTGCTGCAAAGAAATTTTATGTCAGGTTCCAATTTAGATAACTTGAGTCTCAAGTCTCCCGGTTTCACTATATCCAACCGATTTCTTTTTTTTTTTAGCAGCAAATCATTTATGGCACTAAATCCACATTCAGCAAAATATGAACATGGAAATGGTAACAGTTGTTCTCTTGCAAATTTTGCATTTGGATATCTGATTCTGGTTTCCTCACAAAGCTATGTCATCGCTCCTTTTATATTAAATAAGGTTTTAATTGACTCATCATTTTGCATTTCTGCGAGTTCTTCTTTTTACTGAATATTTGAAATATCAGCCAAATCCACTAGCATTGGCTGCATCATCCAAGTTGGGAAATCAATTTGTTTTAAGTTACAAAATCTTTTAAATCAGCCGATAAAATTTTCAGATGATCAACAGTAACAAGTATCAGCGGTATCAATAACAAGTATAGCGGTAGTCACGTCACATTTTTGGAGCCAATGAGACTTTTCAAAATTTTTGTGGTAAATAATATATGCCTGACATAACTCAACAAGATAATGAAACCAAATATCTTCCTTTTGCATAGACATGTTTTATTTGCTCCTTGAAGTTGTTTATTTAATACATTTAATTTTTCAAAGATATCGGCTAAATAACCCACAATTGCCTTGTTAACAGATTTTTCATTTCAGGTTTGTCGCTTATAAAATAACTAGAGTATCAAATAGTTCCATAAATCTTTCCAAGCCCTTTTTCTTTCCAAGTTCCCTTTGGACAGCCTTCTTACTTCAGTGTGAAGTACAAGTCTCATATAGTCTTCATTTTGTTCTTCATAAAATAACTTGAAAAGACGTTCACATTTGGCCCTAGCTTTAATAGCATTGATACACTTTATAACTGAATTTAGTACTTCATTTAGAACAGGCGAATTGTTTTTAGCTAACAGGTTTTCTCTGTGAATAACACAATGCACAAGAAGCATTTCTGGATTCTCATCTTTTATCAATTTTAAGCAATTCGTTTTCTTATTCCGTGCTTCATTTTATTTTTTAACCATCATATTAGGAGAACCATCTGCAGTAGAAGATGTATTATACTTTTTATTGGTATATTTTTTATATCTAAGTAATTTTTTAGCTTACTATAAATATTTTTGGAGGTAGTGGTGCTTTATAATGATTTACAGAAGAACATTTCTTCGGCAAAATTCCCTTTATTAATATATCTTACATAAGTTACAAGTACGATTTCACTCTCTCTCAAAGTTGGTTCATCCATTTGCACAAAAAATTTTCTTGTTTTCAGCTTTTCAACTAGTTGTTTTTCAATATGCTCATTTAATCTTTCTTCTGCAAACAGTATTGTTATTTAGTGGCATAGCTTTAACGTCTTTGTCATCTTTTCTAGAACAGTTTTAAATGCTGATATTGATGGTTTGATTCAATTCTCCCCTATAGTATGACTTTTCCCAGATTAAGCGATGAATAATGAAATTTGATAAATAGCCTCAAGAGCACGATTAACAGTTGTATTATGAGCAGTAAATAGAGACTTTAATATTACTCTTTTTTCAAAAATTTTCCTTTATAAAATAATTCAAATCTGAATTAATATCAGCATTATGTTTCACCTTCAAATGTGCCTCAAGACGTATACATCACTTACATTTTTCTTTATTTTGGGGAATAAAAAATGAAATTTCGAAAAATTTTGACTTCATGAAACATATTTAGAACGTCCTTTGTTCCCTTCAACTCTGAACGAATTCATTTTTGAATTGCCCCGCTTAACAGTCGCATTGCCCAATTGTGGGGCATGGGCCCCACGTTGGGAAACATGGCACTAGACGTATATCATCTAACAGAAAAATCATCTTTAATATTATAAATTCCTAGCAAGAAATTTCAAATTAAGTACCAGACTTGAAAAAACTTTTTGTAAAATAAAATTAATTAATATAAAATATAAACTTATCCCAGAAATCTTTTTAATTCTGAAGAAAAGGGACCTGTCCCTGATTGCCCTCAAAATCTATAGAATTTTGTTGAAAATCTATATAAAAAAATGTTGTTGTTTTGCCTGAGTCGGACTTTAAGACTAGCATGCTAGTCTTCCAATTTGAAGACAGTACAAGTGAGAAATAACTCTTAATATCTAACATCCAATACCATTTCCCAATTAATATAGAATGCACGCTTCTATTTCCTTAATAATTAAACAGATTTTAGAGATTATGTGCATTTCTCTGATGAATTATGTTGAATTCCTGAACTCAAAGAAAATAAATTTAAAAAAAAATATACACTTAAAATGTTTTTAAAGTACACTTCTGCTAAAAAATATGCAACAAATGTAAAACACAGAATAAACAATAACTATTTAATGGATAAGCACAGAATTGATCCAAGAGGTTGGTGTGGCATTACTAGGCGCAGTGGCTAATCACACCGACGGTGCAAATAGCTAAAAGACTATTCACACCACCTACATTCACGCATGCGCACAATCAGCACAGGTACCAGCAATTTACGCTGATTTCCATAAGGCAGGCGGTAGCGAGAGCAAAGAACAAGCCTCTCTATTGGAGTTAGGAATCCTAACTATTTAAATAGTTCACCAGCAATAGAATAATTTGCAAGTAATAACTATCAGTTGGTCAATCCATATGCATGATAATGTTCAGGAAAGGATTAGATAAAACAGGGATTTAATGATGGTTCTAATTGCACGCGAGGACATATAATTAGTAGTTAAAAAATCTTTAATGTATTGACAAAAAGGTTACAAAACTTACTTAAATTCTTTTATTTAACACAGGAATTTTTATGCAAACTTAGACCTCTAATCTTATAGCATAGGACTGTAAGAATTTATTATTCAATAAGAAAAATATAATTATATATAATGTTCTTATATATTCATCACTTTTTCAGTATCCACACATATTTCAAATGCTATACTTCAAAATCAAAGTTATTTATGAAATAAAATCTGATAAATCATTTGTGTGTGCAAATCTTTAAATCTAAATCTCTTACAGCTCTTCTGTCTCTTAAATTTCATCTCATTATTTATTTAAATTTGATTTATTAATGTGTTTGCACTAATATTTCAAAGTTCTTTTAAATACTTTGTGTCCTGAAAATGCCAAGTATTTCCATAAAAAAAATAAACAGGCATACAAAATTCTTAATATCCAGTATTATATGATTAATTATTCATTTAATAGTTGATTTAATCGCTTTTAACTTATTCCATGTCTAAATTTTCTACACAAAAATCCTCTGTTCTAAGTTTTATTATCTTTCCTCAGAAGAAAATTTTCAAAGAGGAATGAATTAGTCTTGATAGTTCAAAACACATCTTTGAAGGTAAATGTATTCTAAGAAGTACAAAAAATGTAAACCAGATTTCGTCTCCTTCCCCAAATCAGTCATTTAAACTATTCCAACCATTCAGGAAAATGATAAACATTGCAAACATAAAAATCTGCCCTTAATAACAGGAAATGCATTCCTTCTTTTTATATATATAAGAAAAGGAACCCATTTTCCTTTCTAATCATTTGAAAGTCGCCAACGCTTACAAAATGATAAACTACGCCAAGGTAGTAACCTGCCTTTTTCTTAAAAAAAAGATTCACTACAACACATAGGCAGTTCGCATAAGTGGAATCTGTTCTTTTTGATTGGGTTCAAATGATGGATTCGACAACTCAATGCGCATGCGTGGTTAATGTTAGTGCGAATAGTTCAAGTGGCTAACTGCACCGCTGGTATGAATAGCATCGGCCATTACTAGGCCACATAGCAAACAATAATGCAAAAACACCACATGTATTACAACCATCACATTGTAAAAGACCAAATAGGTTGGAAGAATGTGCAATGGAAGCATCATGATAATAACAGGCATGATACCCTCTAGCTGAAATGCATAGTTGACAATGGCAAGGCATGGTGGCAATAGTGTTGTTGATCCTTTTTTGTGGCAATAGTGCCCATTCCTGTAGTAATGCATATCTGAGCTCGTGGAGGGTGGCTGGCAGCACACTGCGATCTGCTAATCATCACTCCACACATGATCTATGGTCTGGTGACCTAGCAGGCCACTCAGATGTGGAATAGTTTCATTCTCCTCATGCAGATAGTTCTTATGTATCTTATCATAATTAGTTAATCAGCCAACAAACAGTTTATATTAGCTACAATATTTCTGATGCTGTACAAGATAAATTTACTAAGTACTACTTCTTTTATTAATAAAACTTCCTCAGATTCTATAATTTAACTCTTTTTATAAAAACAAAGTTTTTTTCTGGAGGGGCAGAGATATCATTCATTTTGTCATGTAAAATATAGATGAAATACTCACTAGCAGATGGAAGAAGAAAATTCTTTGTTTTAATTCAAAACAAAAAATAAAAAGCTATAATTTTCCATTAAAAATGCCATGTACAGTACAAAGTCCGTAATCCGGACTCGCCGATTCCGGATTAGGGGTTTTTCCAGATTATAGATCATCAATTTAAATCTGGTAAGATGGCATGCAGAAATTATACAATTAAAAATATGAAATGATAATTTATGAAATAAAGAACAATTATGATCTAAAGGGTATCAAAATTTACAAACTTATTTATTTACTTGTTTACTTTATTAAGCATTTCTTTCAATGTAAGTTGTTTAAGATGCTTCCACAAAATTCAAAAAGTTCCTTTTTCTTGTGTCATATATAGTGGACTTTCCAATGCCATACTTCACACATAATTTTGAGACGGACAGCTCCAGAATTGGAAACTCTTTTTGACATAATCAAAAGTTCAAGCTTAATTTTTATAAAATTGTTCTAACAGTCTGCCAAATATAATAAGCCAGATCCAATTAGAAGATTAAGGAACAGCACAATCTGCAACATTAACTGAAATGCCTTAAATAATTTTAGTCTAGCTTATACCATCTGTTATACATTAAACGTGCATGCGTATAAAGTTTGTAGCTTTGAGGTCTGGATTACAGATCATTCCAGATTATGGACGTCTGGATTACAAACTTTGTCCTGTATTTATCTAGAGCATTGCAGAACATTTGATGCCACAAAATGCTTTTGCAGTAAAAGGTCAAGAAGTTGTTTAGTAATAAAATATAGGAACACACATAGCAAATCATATCTCTTAAAGCTTACAAAACAGTTAAAATAAGCCAAAAGCATCTTCATAGATAATTATATATAGAAATGGAAATATTGAATTTAAAAGGGCATAGTACACTGGTTGGAAACATTACTTACCTGTCTTCCTCATGATTTCTAATATGCTCTTTCAGTGACACAGATGCTGGATGTGAATTAATAACATGGTCAAGCTATTCAAGATAAAATTTCTTGGTATATTCTCTAAAATAATTAATGATTGCTATTTATTTTTTAAAAAACTAAATGCTTCACAAAGAAAACTTAAAATATAAACTAATGATCATTCTCACTAATAAGCAGTTAACTGTTATGCAGAGTTATTACAAATGATTCACAGTTTCAAAATCCTGTAATTTCCAAGTTATGCATCACATATGGTTTTAATATTAACATACCAAAAAAAAGTCCCATAACTCACATATGCAGATTTACTTGTGACACATCACCTAGCTGACATGAGGTCCATTTTTGAATTAACCGCAGAAAACATTTTGTGTTTTAAAATATGTAAAGTGTTTACTCATTGATGCTATACAGTTAGTATAATACTGTGGGTACTTTTCCGTTTTGCCGGCGCAGGCAATAAAATCGCCAATAATGGTATAACCGATGCCGAACGGAATATCCTCACTGGTAACCTTTTACGTCTTATTTTCAAAACAAGTCGCAGCCATTTCTTATCTGATTGATCGTTTCTTTCAATATTGGCATACAATTACATAGAATTTTTACCAGATAGTTCACATTTATGACCTAAGGCCATTCACGATAATTAATTAGGATGCAGTCACACTGCTCACCTGATGGCGAAAATATAGAAAAGGCAAAGTCAAGGGTTAAATTCATCAATTCTAATGAAAATGAACTAGCAAAGTAAGTAAAGCACTGCAGTTTTAAATAATTTTTGAGTAAGCTATTCGTAAGACTTGAAATAATTCTTGCATTTAAACTTGTATTCCAAATTAAGATTTAACTTGAAATTAATGTAGATAATTACTGAGAGAATTAGATTTTTGTAGCATAGTTTACGTGAGATGAGATTACTTAGGGTCATGTGATACGAACTGGCGAATCAATATGTTTTACCATAAAAGCATGGTAAATTCTTAAATTGTTGCTTTACAAATTTATTGTTTTTATTTATTGGCTTTTTTACAAAATTTTAAACAACATTTAAAAAAATAAAAAATTCTTTGAACTAACATTTGTTTGCATTTTTTATGTGTATACTGTGTGTTGTCGCCAATAAAGTCTGCTTGGCGAGATTTGCACCGGCGAAACGGAAAAGTACCCTACTGTGTTACTGTACAAACTGAACTAAATCTAAACTCAGTGGCGTAACAGCCCTAATTGGCCAAGCACTGCAGTGCCCGAAATCTGCTTCCTTGAACATGAGCCCTGGGGTGCGTAAGCATACGTCCTGAACAAGTGGCCAGCTTGTCGCAGAACCCCCAGTGTTTAGTCCCCAAGCGAAGTTGGGACTCATTTTATCGACCCAAGTGATGGAAGTGTTACTGCACAGTTAGTATAATAAAGTTCCACACAATCATCAGTGCAATTTATATCAGACTAGATTATTTTGATCACAGCAAAACACGTGAGAGCTTAGAAAAGAGACGCCTTCCTAAAGGGCTTTTTAAGGGAAAAAGTTTGCCAAGATCTGAGTACAGGTTTAACTACCAGTGCTTAATTAAGACTTTTACTACTCAGCCTCTTGGCATTATTACTGCTTGGCCATTGGTGAGTCCTTTTACAATGGTGTTGAAAGTTCAAGAATGCTGGTTGCCTGTATAAAGACAAAAAACTTAGATGGCCAAATATGATATAATGAAAATGTGAGGAAAGTTAGAGAGTTTCACACACAGCCCGATAAAAATCACCAAACTGCACTAGTTGTGGATTTAAAATTCAACAGACAACCACTTGGAAGTTCTGTGATGGCTATTGGAATTAAAATCATATTGTTCGCAGATGTTGCAACATTTTAAACAATGAATTTTGTTATTACATGCAAAAAATATTGCAAGATGACAATTTCATTAACTGTCTAATAATCATTTATGCAGATGAGTCTAAGACTACAATTCATTAACGCAAAATGGTAAACTAATATAAAGTCTGGATACAAGACATGGAAAATTGCCATGATCCCATAAATGCAGCTAGGATTAATCAAAACCCAAGCTCTTCTGGACAATTTCGTAAACAAAAGTTTATGGATCTTTTTTTTTAAAAAGGACCTGCACACTTTTGTGTACGCTGTGTGGGGGGGAGGGGGGAAATGTGGCATTAAAGCACTGTGATTACTTTGTCAAACAAAATCTTATTCAGAAAATTTCATATCTCAGCAAGATACTTCACTGGCACAGAGACATATTTTATACTCTAAGAGAAAAGCTTTGATATCATTGACCTGGTCAACATGGGGGAGAGGATTTAGCACATGTTCAGATGGCCACCAAGATCTCGAATCCTGTGCCTCCTGACCCTTTTTTCCCCTTTGGAGTCATGTTAAATATTTAAGTGCCTCCCCTCCCAGCAACTTCAGAAGGGCTCTATGATTACACTGTAACTCCTTTGATGAGCATCAGCAGGGAAATGTTATACTGTGCACACAGAATGGAATAAACTTAGATATGCATCCTGTAACAAAAGAAGCACATATTGAACATTTAAAATTTTGACCTAAAATATGAAATAGAAGGATGATTTATGCGACTTTTCACAATGGTAAAATTGTCAGTCTTAGTTAACTAATGCCACCTGGTTTAAACATAATAAAATACAACTTATTGTACCAAAATATTTAAAATGTAAATTTAATTAAATTATAAAAATAAAAGCCCTATTTACAAAAATTTTAATTCAACTAAAGAAAACTCTTATTGTGACAGATTGCTCTATAATGTGCTTCTCCAAGAAACTGAAGAATAATGGACTTAACATCCCCTCTGTACCATTTGTATCCAATTTGCAGAAACTGTATTTATTTATTTCATCTGAAATTTTCTCCCGTGTTTTACTCTTCTAATTTTGGAATTTTGTTTCATCTTCTAAGGGCATATGAAAGCAAATGGTAGTTAATACAGTGAACTGTGTTTTGTTATTATACCAATTCATATTTAATTGCCTTCTGTTGTTGAATATTTTGAGTTTCTGGAAGTCGAGGGAAGAAATTATGAAGCGATTTGTATAGTGTAACAAGAATGATTTAATATGTGCAATATATATTTTGATTATTCTCTCTGGCACAGGACTGTTAGTAGGCCCACTTAGGTTACAGAAAGTTGTTTATGAATAAGAAAGCCTAATTATTTATTATATCATTCATGTTTGCATACACTCCTGTTCTTTGTATGAAATTTGCATATATATGTTGATTACTCCTTTTTTTTTTTTTTTTTTTTTTTTTTTTTTTTTTTTTTTTTTTTAACAGTATCAATTTTTTTTATAAGTAGCTGCTTAGGATAGTCTGATCATAGTATATAAAGCAAAGCGTTTTGATTTAAGGTTTACATACTTTAATTATTTAGATTTAAGGTTTACAGACTTTTATATGCAAATATGATTATGTTCAAATCAAAGACAACATATTTTATACTGAATTATATATTTTTTTAAATTATAAACACATCATCTGTTACTGTATAAAGTAGAAAGAAAATTGCAATCATTCTGGAAACTTGAAAAAGCATCTGCAAACAATTCTCAGGCTGAAGATATTAGCAAACAAAAAATAAAATTATAAGAAGTTTCGTAGCATCACATAAAGGAATAATTAATTACATAACGAACATTGCTTAAGCACACCTTTTTTTTTTCCTAAATAAAATTTTCATGGATACCTCCTATTTAATTTACGATAATCACTGTTTTACAACTGAAATTGTAAAAAATACATATGATCAACAGGCAAATATTTTTCTAGTCACATACATTATTTGTCATTCTACACAATTCATAACTTTTAGATTGGTATGAACCTATGTTCACTAACATCTTCTTGATTAATTTGCTTGCTTCTGGTGTTGCATCCAAAATATCGTCCTTTCGAAACTCATGAATTAATATACATTTAAGTCTTAAATATACTCACAGGAAGATACAAAGAGCAGATAAAAGAAACAAATCACATAAATATCCATACTACATTTAGAGTAATTTCAGCATTCATAAAAATTTCAGGAGTATATGTATCCCTGTGATCTGCCCATAAAAAAATTCCTGTTACACAGCAAGTTTAAATATTTAATAATTTTAAATGTTATGAAATAAAAGAGAACTAACCAAAGCACCAGCAGCACTCTGTCCAGCTTCACTGCACCAATAATCTGGTACCATTGCTGAAAAATAAGGACCCCAAATACCTTGTGTAAAAATTGGTTGCTTACTAACCTATAAAAGAATTTATAAAATACAGTAACATGCAAATTTGCATAATAATTAAATAATCAAATAATACTTCAAAGATAGAACTAACTTTCATATGACAAGTTGATGTTCCACAAATGACAGCCATTCGTTCATCAATGTTTCCGTAATTCCGGAAATGTCCTTTACAGGCCAGTACACCTAAAAAATTAGCAAACCAAGTCAAAAAATGTAATTTACTGTTTGGCTACAATTGAACCAAATATGATGTGGTAGTGCCTCCCTTTGCGCAGCAAAAAGATTGAAAGTGTGCTACAAAAAATGTAACTATAACACAAAATCTTAATTTAGTGAGGATAGTACTAGAGGTCTGGCTAAAAGTGATCAATAAATAATTTGATAAAAAAAATTTGAAAGCTTTAAGATTTTATATTATGCCCAAAGTTTTTTTTAAAACATTTTGTGTGTTACCTTTACTGATTAAATATCATGTTCTTTGCACTTAAACCATAAAATTCAATTCAACACCAGTATCACAATAATTTTAAAAAAGCATATCTTTAGAATTTCCGATACATAACCTCACACGCTGGAGATAAAAATGTTTTCTTTCGTATAGTGTTACCATTGCTCGCTTTGAAATTGTTGAGTTTGTTAATCAAAAATTCATTATAAAATTTTTAACAAAATATGGATTAGATAATAAAAAAATTCCAAATTTGAGTTTCCAGATGCCCATATTTGAGTGGAGGATATGTTATTCAAAATTTGATGTCTCTAGATACTATTGTTTCTTCACAGTGCAAGAAGCTTCACACTGTGTATGTATTCAGCTAAGTTGGAAGACAATTACTGGTTGCAAAAAATATCCTATTTAACTGATGTATTTAGATACCTAAATGAACTTAATCAAAAAAATGCAACGTCCACTTAAGAAAATATTAACTTGCACTCATAAAATTGATGAATTCAAAAACAAAATTCAGCTTTGGAAAGATGCGATGAAAACAGATCCTTTACAATGTTTAGTCGACACTGTAGTTCCTAAAAACTAAAAAGAACTAATAAGTCTGGTATATCAACCCTATACGTGTACTTGACAAAAAGCTCCATCACTATTTTGAATTAAGGAAGACAATTTGATTAGGTTCGAAATCTATTTGCATCCTCATTAGTTCATATGCCATTCCATTTATGTGAAAGAAGTTCCATTTATGTTTGCCCCCCTTCTCCTTCATTCTTCTTCGATGTCCCTTTTCAGAACTATGATTAAGACTCATTCATGTGAAGTGCCTCTGAAGCTACGCAATGTAAATGAGCTGAACACGTAATGCTGTATTCAAAATGCTGTGATTCAAAATTTGAATTGCCAAAATGTTTATTTAGTGAATTATAGTTGGCACATTTAGCCTATTTAGCTGATATTTTGGAAAATTAAATGAATTAAATTTAAGATTACAAGAATAAAATGTTAATTTGTTTACCATTAGAGATAAAATAAAAGCAATGATAAAAAAAACTCAAGCAAATAATCAAAGATATGGATAATAATATTTTAAGCTTTTTGCCACTTTTAGAAAGTTTTCTAACTGAAAATAATTTGAAAATAGAAGAATTAGCATTTGACATTAAAAATCGTTTTTCATTTATAAATAATTCCAACATGTATTTTCCTGAGGATTATGAAAAAGAAAATTGGATTAGAATACCATTTTGTTCAGATATACCTGAAATTTTATCTCGTGAAAAAAAGAACAATTGATAGAAATTTATTGTGATCAAACTCTAACTGAATATTTCAAAAATAACACACTTGTTAACTTTTGGCTTAACCGAAAGAAAAAAATAAGAATTTAGAAACATATCAAATAAAGCTATTAAATTTTGATTGCCTTTTTGCACAACCTATATCATTGAACAAGGATTCTCTTCCATGTTATATTAAAAAAAAATAAATAAATAAATAAATAAATACAGAACAAAATATAATGTGGATTCTAATTTACACTTAAAAAACTAAGTGAAATAAGACCAGACATAAAGTGAATAAGACCAGACATAATATTTCTCTTAAACAGGCCAAAATTTCACACTAAGTAGTATAACTTAAATTTTGATAATTAAAATGTTAACCAATTTTTAATCTAATATTTTTATGTGTGCATATTTAATTAAAATAGCCAATAGGTTGTGCAAATAGCAAAATATTTTTTAGCCCAGCAGGGCAATTAATTTCAAAGCAGCATTTTGCATCGATTCAATTTTCAAACTGTTGCTACCAAATATTATCGCCATGTATTATATTTAAAGAAACTAAGTAATGAAGAATCTGCATGAATGTTTCTTGCATTGTAAAAAAACAACGGTACTTAAAGCCATCAAATTTTGAATAACTTAGTCTTCCAACTAATCATGATCACTCGGAAGCCCAAATTTTGAATTTGTTTTACTATCTATTTACAATTTTGCAAAATTTTAATGAATTTTTTATTAACAAACTTAACAATTTTAAAGCCAGAAATAGCAACACTGTATGGAAAAAAAATTTTAAAAAAACGTTTTAATCTCCAGCACGTGAGATTGTGTATCAGAAATTCTAAAGGTATGATGCTCTGCTGTTTTTAAATACTTTGTGATATTGCTGTTGAATTGAATTTTATGTGTTTTAAGAGAGAAGAACATTTTACTTAATAAATAAAGGTAACACACAAAACATTATAAAAAAGCGCCCCTTTGGATGCGTAATATAAAATATGAAAGTTTTCAGCAATTTTTTTTTTTTTTTTTTTTTTTTTTTTTTTTTTTATATATATATATATATATATATATATATATATATTATATTTAGAAATTGAAAAATAATGATTGCAAAATGTAGTGGTGGTACTAAAGGTTTTCAATTTTTGCTTAGGTTGTATGAGTTAGTCAAAAGGTTGAGATAAGCTGATCTAAACTGAAAATATTATATTAAACAAAAACTAAACAAAAACTAATATTAAACAAAAATATTATATTAAACAAAAACTAAAGTAAAAAAGTAAACGAAATGAATTTGTTTGGAAATTATACTAATATCATTGATAAATAATTTTAAAAATTAGATAATTTTTAATTGATTTTAAAGCATATGTCTATAAGTAATGAAATATACTTTCCTGAATGAATTTGGGATTTTATACAAACTTTTACCTAAACCTCCAGCATGAGCATCAATTATAGATGCTGACACAGGAGTACCAGGTTTGAGTCCCATTTCTTCCGCTGCTGCTTCACATAATCCATTTCCACACTTTTCACCAGGAGTTAAGACTTCAGTTCCTATAAATAAATATTAGATTTTACTGAAATATTAAAAACAACAAAAAATTATTTTTAACATGCTTTTATTTCATGAAGAATATGCCTTACAATTTTGAGTTAAGGCAATTCATAAGTATGGTTTCTGAGCTAAAAGTCAAATTTAGCATTAATATTTTACCATATATTAAATATTACCATATATATAGAAAAATACCATATATGTAGTAAAATACCATATATATATAAAAATATTAACAGCTATATTTTATAGTTCTACTGGTTAGGAAAATAGCCACAGTTTTCTTCTATGGAGAATATCATGCTTCTGTAGACTTCCATAAGACCTTAGAAAAGTCTCACTTTGAGACTTGGCAAATATTTTCACTGTACATTTTCAATACTAAAAAAATTACACCTTTAAAAATAAACATTAAATTCTACATTTAAGAGATTTTTAAAAAAAAAATTTTTTTGAGCTTTTTGAATCATTCATTTGGATTTTTTAAAGTAACATTAATAAGTTAGTGCAATTTTAATTAATTAAATATTTAATCTTTTAACTGCCTAACTGCATTAAAATTATTTGTAACTAAAGAATTAAATTTTATGTGCAATTTTAAATACTAAATGTGAGCATATTTCCTAAATTATTACTCTTGTTTAAAATAAAATTGAATTAAAGATTTCTTTATGGTTAAAATATGCATTTGAAACTTGAAATAGATACTGTGTAAATAGATAATAAAGAGAAAGAAAAATGGGAACAATTTATGAACTAAATACCCTTTTACCACAAATTAAAATTTAAAAAAGAATTTATTGCTAACCTAGTAAAAATTCACCATTCCTTTCCCATTCTTTGTTGTATTATTCATTTGAAGAATAATTTTAGTTCTGTAAAACCTAACACTGGTTCTTACAAGTCTTTTAAATGATAATCAAGCTTCTAAAAATTAAATTAGCTGTTTTAAAGGACTAAATATTACAATTCTAAGTATTCCAGTTAACTAAATTTAATTGTATTCACTTTGTACAAAAGAAATTACTTTACATATAATGGAATTTATCTTTTATAATCGACCATGTTCCCAAATATAGTAATTTTAAACTGCGTAATAGAATAAAAATTCTGGATTGTAAATGAAGAAAGGATATCTCATATATCAAAGAATTTAAAGAACATATCAATAACTGAAATTTTTTGCTCCTGAAACTACAATGAACTTTTTTTTTTTTTTTTATAAATTTTAGCAATAAAAAGTGCGCCTCTTATTGCAATTAATTTGAATAAAACATTAAATAAGGTATTATAATAAATATAATAAATCACTAAATCTTTCTTAAGAGAAGGAAATATATCATAAAGAGTGATGAATATTATCTAATGTCTAATAATATAAGAATTTAAATAAAATATAAATAAATCAAAAGTATCAAAAAACAAATAGTATTTGTATAAATTTTGCATTTATTTAAAATAATTATATCAAAATTATAAACTATAAAACAATTCAAGAAAACTTATATTTACAAAAACTATTCATGTATAATTACTTTAAATTTTTATATTATTCAATCGTATTTCAGTTTAAGAAATTTTCTGTATAAAATGTTTAATAAGTAATTACCAATATTTTTATAGTTATTAAAAACTAAATCCTCAAGACCAATATTTTTCCAAAAGTCATCTTGCCAGCCATTTGCAGTTTCTTGTCCAGCTTGATATGTCCACTTACACACCAAAGAGCATAATGATCTAATTAATGAAGAGTTATTTAAAACATAATAAATTCCTTTTAAGTTGAAAGAAAGTAGGATATCAAATAAAATAATGTTCTTAAACAAATTATCTATAAGACAGGGACACAATCAGAAAACTTTCATGCTTCACTATAATAAATTTATCACAAGAAACAAAATAAATAATAAAAACAAGCATAAAATTGAAACTTCATTATATAACTATCTATATAAAAGTTACACTTTAAGATTTTTATAACATATACTTATATAATTTGATTTGATATCGATTTTAAACTATCCTCAAGTAATTAAAACATATTTTTTAATTTCTCACTTTAATTGAAATATGCACTTTCATTACGGTTATTAGAGTTTTAGCGACTAATGGCACTAACATCTAACTCCTTAGCAAGCTCTCAAGTGGTTGCATACTGATCTTCTTCCACAAGTTCTTGCACGCACTCTGCTTCTTGAATGTCACAGCCCTTATTTTTGAACTTTCAGTACCAAGCCTTCGCATTATCATATGATACAACATTAGCACCTACAGCTATACACATCATTTAGTGGCATTCTGTAGCTGACATTTTGCAACACAACAGGAAGCAAATGATGGTTCTAATCTGGTAGGGTGGTAGTTCTATTTCAGACAACATATACTTAATGATAACAATACTTTTTTTAAAATTTCACAACACAATGTTCTAAAGCAAGTCTTTTTTCTTTCAAATGCCAATAATTGTTTGACGAAATATGATTAAACATGCCAACACGAACTGCTTGCACAGATGATATTTGCAGAGGTAAGAAACTTTCATTAAAACCCAATATAAATGAGGATAAGTTTTTTACTATTTTACATCCAGCTGGTTTTTATTCATTCAGGTAATTACATGAAAATATGTAATATTAAAGTCAACAATTTTTAGAAAATAATAATTTTAATTTTGCTCATTAACCTGTATGGAACTGCCCGACACCAGAACCTGATATGTCATTGTCTCACTACTTGAGCAATTTATTGTTGGCTAAATATTAACTATATTTTTAAGACTTAAATCTTAAATACTTTCTTAGATTATGCTTGTAAAAATAAACAACTAAAAATACTATATATGTATGCGTATGTGTTGCTATAATAAAACTTTTAGAGAACTGGCATAGAAAATTAAAAAGGTGGATATGTCACATGTCTAGTGATTGTGTTCCTTCAGAATTTCATTTCATATCATTTTCATAATTTCATTGGATTAAGAACACATTCAAAAACAATACAAGCACAGTGATAGGTGCATTGATGTTAAGCAATTTAACATAAAGGTTTCCTATTCTATAAATGGACAGAGAAATGCAGCTAACTACACAGTTGCAAGACAAAGAAAGATAGTGAAGTTAAATTAATAATACTCAAATTTAATTTCTTAATGGGATATGACAATGTTTTATTATTACCATATTTGACGGCAAAGACATTCCCTTATTTAGAAGGCCACACACAAGGCAAAAAAGTTTCATTTCATTTTAACCACATTTTAAGTTATTGTGGTCCGCGCGATAGCGCGGTACCAATAACTTAAAATGTGGTTTCTTTTATTTCTCACATTTCGTAAAAGCCAAATAAACAATCATTGAATGCAATTACCAAACATATTTTTATTAAGGAAAATTAACAAACGGCAAGCTATTTTGAACATGATATGTAAATTTCAATAATGAATAAATGAATGAACAGTAGGTGGTGGACCGAAATGCCTTGCTGCTGCTCTGTTTCAATACAACATTAGTACCTAATGTTCATGCACTTTGGCATAGTTTAACACTCCTAGTTTATACTGAATTGTGTAGCTTAATCTCTTGTTCCTTTCTAGTCATATTTTCCAGGGTATTTTTTAAAACAAATAGATTTAAGCACCGATACCGACACATTTATACAGAGTAACACCGATACCAACACGTGTGTCGGCTGATTCAAAGAAAGTCTATGTAAAGAAGGAAAGGCTCCATAGACGTAATGTGACCGTCGAATCTGTTCGAACTTCGACATCAGCTTCGAGCTTTGGCGCTTTTTGGCGACAGATATTTCACGCATGCGCAAAATAATTATGGCAGATGTAGAAAAAGTTATGCGTGTCTAGACCTTTATCCGGGCTAAAAATAACATTCAGTATTGAACGTTAACCTGTGTCCTTCACGTATAAGACGCAGGTAATTTTTTTGATACCAAATTTAGAAAAAAATGTGCGCCTTATATGCCGTCAAACACGGTACTATTTAATCAAGTTTTTATATTATTTAGGATAGGATGAAAAGTTCTGTTATCAGTTTTGTGATACATAAGTAATACACCATTTGCATTATATAAAAACACATTTTTTTTAAGTATGTCATTACAAAGTTCACACTTCAAACAAAAAACTGTTGTAAATATAATACTGTTTTTAGGACAGAAAGTGAAAATAATGAAATTCAAAAACAGAATTTAGAGGTTATTACAGATTAAAATTATAACTTTATTTCACACACACATATACATATAATATATATATATAAACATTATATATACATATAATATATATATATGTGTGTGTGTGTGTGTGTGTGCACAATAATATATATATGTTATGGTCAATGTGATTAATCAGTTATTATTAATAATAACTGGCAATTATTAATAATAAACAAATAAGCTGGTTAAAGTAAAGAATTTATCACATTTACCAGCTAATATTAATAATTATCAACGAAGTTTTGTCAGTGTAATAATTTTCAATGCATTTGGCTTAGAGATTTCCAATATGCATGCATAATGGTAATTTCCCACACAAACAGCTAGACAATGTCAGTTGCTTGTTTACTTTGGATGTAAATGCTCGCACTTTGCGCTGTTTATTTGTTGTGCGAATACCTTGCCCTTGGCAGTTTTAACTCTTTTCAAATACAAGTTTGACATAAGTTTCTTTGTCAGTTTTGGGCATATGCACTGTTCTTTTAAAATTTTCACAAATGCTACTGTAATTTAAGCACAATGAAAGATGATTTAGAACTCATGAGATCACATTTTAATGATCTTATGGACATGCTCAAATTGAGAAAAGGGGAAAACCACCAGTTATCAACAGTAGAACAGTACAATTCCTTTATTGCAAAAGTTAAGGAAAGCAAAGAGAAAACTTTTGGCAAAACATCAAAAGACTATCAACGAGTATCAAGATATATTGTTCAAACTGGTAGTATTGAGAAACTCATTGTTCCAATGCAAAATGAAAAAGATCAGATTGTTTATTATACTTCTATGGAAGAGAATTTTCAAATAATCTATGAGATTCATTACTTTAACCTTAACATATATATATAGTAACTTGCTTAAAAAAGGACCATAAAACCAAAGTGAACACCAGCCAAAGAATGTTTCCAATAACGAACATAATCCTGCATTACAAAATGCATCTGTACATCATTGTACATTATTAGCATATTAAATATGCAGCAAAAATTTGCATTATTTTTTATTAGATGGCACATGAAAACAGAAATATGCATAAACAAAGACAATTTGCAGAAGACACGCAAGTAAACATTCTTGTTATAAAAATTACAAGCCCTTCTGGAAAAGGTACATTAAAAAGGTTAAAAGAAAGTTTCTTTTGATAAGAACACATGGGACTAATACCTATTATGAACCTACTGAAAAAAATAAGAAGACGTCTCTATCAAAACCAAACAATGGCATCCCAGTCAGACTGAGGCAAACACAGAGACAGTGCCATAGTACTTCCCAACTATCTTGAACAATATTTAACCATTTTATACAATGTCTTGAATTAGATCTCCCAGAAAAATAAAGCCAGATGCCCACCAAACAATGCAGCCTAAAGAATAACTATATAAGTCTTACAATATATATTTAAATACAAATGTTACATATTTAACATTTTGTCATGTTTTGCCTCCCTATTTCTTGCAGTTTATAACTGTGCTTTTGTTTTTTAGTTTTTGCATGTTGTTTATTCCAAATATGTAATAAATTTAAATTTTTTTTTAATTTATTTTGTTTTGCGTTTTATATAATTAATATATACATATTGTATATATTAATTATATAAAACGCAAATTATGTTGTTATTATGTATATATTAATTATATAAAACGCATGTATGTATGCATGAATATATGTTTCAAGTAATTAATTAAATTAAAACTACCAGGAAAAATGTTTTTTCGAAAATGTCAAATAGTATTGAGAAAAGAGAACGAAACAACTTCTAAAAGCTTATGGCTAAAAAATTTATGTATGCAAGAGCAAGTTGCATATAAACAGAGTAACATTAACAAGTAAAGTTGTTCCTAACTGAATGACTTTAGATTTACTTTTAAGAATGTGTAATCTGAAATTATTTTACCAGTCAACTATCATCATATATGTATGTATGTAATAATACAGTTCTGCAGATTTTAGTGTTTTTATTAGTTTAAAAATAGGATTTTCTTTTCTCAGTGCACCAACCTCCTGAAGATGTAAAACATTTTCTGTATTCAATTTTTACACAAAGTATTTTAGGGATTTTAAAACTGGACTGCTTTTGCAAAATTGTTTTTACAAGGTAATTTATTTGAATTTTACCAACTCTTTCTTCTAAAGTGAATGTGTTTTTTTTCAATGTGATATATATATATGTATACCTAGTATTTTTTATATCTTACATCAAAGGCTATGGGTGCAGAAAATGTCTTGGAAAGCATTTGCATATTTAATCCTTTATTAATACTTGTGATAAGAATAAAAGATCACAGATCTCAATACCAGCAAATATATAAAAGATCTATGCCCATTTTTATAAAATATAAATCTGATATTACAATTTAGGAAAATTTTAAAGAAAATAAAATATTAGTTGAAAATGACTGTAATGAAATAATAACACAGAACTTTTACATAACTGTAACAATTTTACATTATAATTTGGCAAATGTAAAAACATAAAAATGCTCAAAAACATCTTCGAAACACATGTTTAAAAAAAAAAAAAAAAAAAAGACAGACCTCTGCAAACTTCCAGTAGCTCTCCACGTAAGAAAATCTGGCAAATCAAAGAAGTGTTCAAACTTTTCCCATTGATCTGGTAAGTTCTAATAAGGGAATAGGGGGAGAAAAAAAAGATCAATTTAAAAACCTTCATGATAATGTTAATTACCTTCATGGACAGATTGTTTATTATTTTTATTAAATTTTACTAATTAATTCAATAATTAGATTGGTTTCATTACTTAATATATCCTAGCATTTTTTTTTATTAAATTAAAAAAATTGATTGTCTAAAGCAAAATATTTTTCTGCCAGTGATTTGCCAAATTATAAGATACAGCACAAAGTCTTTAATCCGGACTCGTCGGGACTTCGGCGATTCCGGATTAGGGGTTTTTCCAGATTATATATTCTCAATTTAAATCTGGTAAGATGGCATGCAGAAATTATAAAATTAAAAATATGAAACCGTAATTTATGAAATAAAGAGCAATTATGATCTAAAGGGTATCAAAATTTACAAAAAAAAAAAGCTTAATATTTATTTGTTTACTTTCAACGTTACCTTACTAAACATTTCTTTCAACGTAAGTAGTTCAAGTTGCTTCGTTTTTTGTGCTAATACTTTCTCTTTAATTCTCTCTTCTATGGATCTTGAATCTTATCTTTACAGCTGGCATTAACTACAAAGAGTTCTAACCAGTATCCTGAAAATTATAACCATTTAAACATTTGCTTGATTTTAAAAGAAATCAAAGATGTACTTCTAGTACATCATCGCACGAGGCAAAAGTTCAAAATGCGAGTTCATGAGTATGTAAAATAAGAATGAATGTTCTTCATCTTGTGCTATGCTGGTGTGGAGGCAGTCAGAGGAGAAGTCATGTGATTTTGAGAAGGCACTTGGTTGATCGAAATCAGTAAAGTTCATTAAAGATTCTGAATTTAACAATAAAAACACTTAATATGTAATAAATTTATGTATATTCCTTTAAAACATCTCTCTTCTATAAACAGTTTCTCTTCTCTTTACGCGCATGCATAGCAGAAGCGTGCATGCGTAAACGTATTATGCACATAAATAAATGCATAATGCTTTTACAAATGCGCATAAAGTTTGTAGCTTTGAGGTCCGGATTACAGATCATTCTGAATTATGGACGTCCAGATTAAAGACTTTGCACTGTATATACTATCCTAAATGAATACAATGTGAAGATTATTGCACTTGCTAAACAAAGAAGAAATTTAATTATTTAAGTTGAAACTAAGTATTTCTTTCAAATGGATCATTTGCACATAAGACTATAAGATTTGCACCTAATATTTTAAACAAGAGATGTGATTGCAGTTTCTGTTTTGCTATGACACAATTTGAAAACTCAAGCATTTTCTTTGATATGTTTAAAAGCAATAGTAAGGGGGCATAAGTAATTTGGAACAAGCATCCATCAAAAATAACAAGAACGGTTATTTTTATTTGATTATACAATGCATATTAAGTAAATTAAATCCATAAATCCATTAATTTTGAAATGTTTAAATATACGCAACAGTGAAAGTTACGACCTTTTTAAGCCATAAAAGTTTAGGTGGTTCCATTTCTGGTGAGATCTTTCCACCAACAAAATCTAAGACTCTGTGAGGTTTACTGTTAATAAAGTCAGCTTCAGCTACAGCTCTATGATCCATCCACAGTATTATATTTTGTTTGGGATTACCTATAAAAATTAGAAAAATAACATTGTAAAAGTAAAAGATGAGAAAAATATTTTACCTATTTAATTTTAATAGCCTGGAAATTTATTTAACAATAATTTTAGCAAAATGAAATAATTAAAGACATAACTCAAATAATTATAACTTAATGAAAAAATTTCACACGCCTAAAGCAAGTTTTAGAAGGGGGGAAAATGTGTACATCTTTAAATAAGAGATTTTGTAACAGTCCTGAATTTTTTAATAGATTATTCCCAAAGAATGACTAACAGAAGTACAGAATGGATTAACATATGTAATAATTAAAAAGTGGCACATGAAGTCTATTTGTTTAGGCTTTATCCCAGTTTGATTAAGCCCACTTTAAGAATAGATTAAATTAATAATGGGTGATTATTTCAAAAACAGCAACTTTGTTGTAATTTAATTCAGCTTTTTTAGCCCATATTTCTAAAATTTGATTTGTTTCATTAATTTTACTACTTTAAATTTTAAGTAGCCTGATTTAGTTAAACTGTTAGTTAAAACTATTTTTATTTTTTCATTAATCTTTATGTCATAATGTTAAGTGTACTCTTTAAGGGTGATTAAATTTTATGCATTTCCACAGCTCCTTCCCCCCCTGACAAATTCAAAATTACAAAGGATTCAATTTTAATGGCAGGTTTTCTATGTAATGTTAATAATAAAAAGCAGAGCAATTATTACTCTATCTGTAAAATGTTTTTATACGATACGACAAAAAATTTTAACCTTACGGCGATATACATCCAAGGAACAGAAATTGGATAAAAATATGGAAACACCGAAATAAAAACATATCACTGTGATTAATGCAGTGTAAGAAAACTGTTGGCCTTCAAAACAGGTTGCAGTCTTCTCAAAATGGATAAACAGAGATCTTGTATACTTTTCATGAGAATCTTGCACCATTCTTCCTCTAAAACAATGGCAAGTTCAGATAACAATGATGATGGTGGATAGTGCTCATGCAGATTTTTCTCCAAAATAACAGACAAAGGCTCGGTAATATTGATATCTGGTGACTATGGTAGACGTGAAAATTCACTCTCATGCTCAGAAAACCATCCCTGGATGATATGAGCTGAGTGAACAGGAGGTCTGTCATCTTGTAACATAGAATTACCACTGGGGAACAAAATTTGTATTATGGGATGGATGTGATCAGCCAAAATGGTCACATAATCCTTGACGGTAATGTGCTCTTGCTCAGTGTCCATGAAATATCACGATATGGCTGCCCAAACCAAGATGAAACCCCAGCCATGTTTCACTCTTGGCAGTAAACAGTCTGCATCATGTGTTTGGGATGGTGATAGCCAGATGTAAACTCTCCCATAAGTTGGAGACAGTGTGAAGCAAGACACATCTGACCAAATAACAGTCTTCCATTGCTCTACAGCCAGGTTTTATGATTTTCACACCACTTGCTCCTCATACAGGCATTATAATCACTGATGAGTAGTTTTTGAATTACAGCTCACCAAAAATACCCTGCTTGTAGAGCTCCCTTCATATTATTTTGGTGCTGACAGGGTTTGTGAGTGCGACATTCAGATCAGCAGTCACTTTTGCAGCTGTAGTCCTCTTATTTTTCATCAAAGTCCTCTTCAATGATTGTCTATCCTGGTGATTTAGCTGATGCAGATTTTTCGTTTTTCCCGTATCAGCTTAAAATCTTAGATACTCTGCTTCTTGAAACACCAAACACTTCAGCTACCTTAGATATGGAAGCACCCAGCATATCAGCCCCAACAATTTGCACATGCTCGAAATCATTTAGATCCAACATGATGTACTCTCAACTTCAAAGAACACAGTCTCAATAACAAATGACACTTTCAACATATTGAGGATGTTGTACAAGTGAGCAAACACATCAGTGCCACCAACAGCTTTTGCAAAAAAAAACATTTCAATTCAAACACGCAATTTACGAGGTGTTTCCATACATTTGTCCAACCTCGGTAAGGTATACCTTACCTTGGTATAACATCTGCTTTGAAAAATGTCCAATTTGGTATACATTCTGTCTGGATATGAAAAGCTTTGTTTGATATATAATACAGTCAAAAGTCGTTAATTCGGACACCCGTAATCCGGAATGATCTATAATCCGAACCTCAAAGCTAAAATCTTTCTGCGCGGCGCATAGGCGTTTTACTCGTGTGCGCAAGACATTTACGACTGCGCATATGCATCTGCGCAAGTGCAGAATACGTTTTCGCGTGCGCGTTTAATGTATGACGGACGGTATAAGCTAAAATTATCTAATTATCTATTTCAGTTAATGTTGATAATTGCGTTGTATTAACTTATCTTCAAATTGGATCCGGCTTATTATTTTTTGCAGACTGTAAGAGCAATTTTCTAAAAGTAAGCTTGAACTTTCGATTATGTCAAATAGAATTTCCGATGCTGGAGCTCCCAAAGGATCTAGAAAACGAAAGTATGTTTCGATGTCCATCAAACAAAAAACGAATTGCTACAAAAAATGAATAAAAGCATATCCTTTGTTTATCTAACCGTTCCGAAATCTGTTTATCAATTTCACGCTGCTCTGCGCGGGGGGGAGGGGGGGCACGTCGCGCAATGAACTGGAAGTTGATCTGTCAACACTATCGTTATCTTCAGGGCAGATGTTTTTATTTTAGTCGGCTTATAATTCCTTACTAAATGTAGTATTGTAGTATTTAATTTCGATGTACTCCGTCTTTGATATGATTTAAATCAAATTCCTCGTCATTATAAATATCACGAATACAAATCACATAGTTTTCTGGTTGCAATTTTCTAATTTCGGCTATGAGTAAGGTATGCTTTACGCAGCCGCACGTTAAAAGAAATGTTTAATAAAGTAAACAAATAAATATTAGGCTTCTTTTTTGGTAAATTTGATACCCTTTAGATCATAATTGCTCATTATTTTATAAATTACGGTTTCATATTTTTAGTTTTATAATTTCTGCATGCCATCTTACCAGATTTAAACTGATGATCTATAATCCGGAATCGCCGAAGTCCCGACGAGTCCGGATTAAAGACTTTTGACTGTATTTATTTGGAATATAAATCCAGATTGATGAGTCACAACCATGCACACAACACTTGTTTACATCTTTCAAGACAATGCCATGACTACTCATGAGCATCAGCATACCTGTTGGCACTATTCAGTACACAGCCCATGCTATTAACTCTAAATTTTCAAGTGATTTTGTGTTTTTTTTCCAAAATTTTTTGTAAATTCATTGACAATGTGTTTCAGTAATGTTAATTAGAAGAGACAAAGAAAAGTGCTAGGATCATCATGATAAATCATCAAAAAAAGATACTGTTAAAAAGTATAAAGAGAGCGTGCATATCTAAAATTGACTGTTGCATACCATATGCCGAATATGGTATTGTCTACGACTGTGAAAAATGAAGATACTATTAAATCAGGTAACACTGTGAAAGGAGTGGAATCAATTACCAGACAAAGGCCAGAGACATCAGATTCCGTTATAAAAATTGCCTTTGATCTGGATAGCAGAAAAAATTTATGTACAGTATCATGTGCAGTGCTTCATTAATGTACAGTATATATTTTAGCCACTGCATTTGTATTTTAGTATTAAATAGTATTGTTACGAATTTTGTACATAAAGAGATTATTTTAGTGCAGTTATAGGTGAAATTGTTGTATTTTTCTATATAATGTAACATGAAAATCCAGAAAGATGATGCTATGCCGGAAAATAAGAATGCATGGGCAAGTCTATTTAACATTGAGTAAATGGCTAGCTTGCTAATTTGGGAAGAAATCGCCAAAATTTGCCAAACGTGGCACCCATTTTATAACATTTTGTTCTAATCCTGTATCGCTCATAACAGGTATTGTAATTGAATAACTGCAATTGATTTCACATGTAGCAGTAAACTTATCTGGCCCTCATATGCCTCCAGTGATTTCAAGAAGTATTAGAAATATCTCGGCAGGCGGGTGAAAACTATACAAGACCAGAATGAGCATCTGCTTGCATTTGTTGTCAGTTCAGCATTAGTCTGGAGTACTGAGATATCTCCACTTAGCTTCACTGCCTAGATGCACTATGAATTGCATTGTGTTTAACATTTTTAGTAGTTCTAACATTTTTAGTAGTTTTAGTAGTTCAAGTGTAACTACTGATTGCACTCTGTAATACTGTGAAGAGCTGTATGACTATTTTGGAGGAAAGTTTCAGAACTCTGAAGTGTTTCTGTGGATAAAATAAATTTTATCAATCTATCATCGGACCTGTGTGCACTCAGTCTATTACAAACCTGTATGCATGCAAATGTATTATAATAACAACAATAGTATTATGATAAAAACACATTAATTATTTTCTCTTTGTATGTCTAATTGGAAAATTAGACATATATGTCTTTGTATGTCTAATTCATTTGGTATACATCCAAGAGCCTGGAATTAATGATATATATATAGAAGTAACACTGTATAATAAAATTTGAATTTTTTTAGGTGAATTAGGAAGTATAATTAGATGTAATTTCATTTCTATCACATTTTTACTTCAGAAAATCTAAAAATATGATATATGATTTTTTTCAAACTTTTATTCATTAACAAAATTTTTTATTTGCATAAAAATTTTATATCTCACTTTGGCAATTGTTTGTTAGCTATACCCACCAATACACAGCTAACAATCTACTGGCATTTCAAGTATGAGTATATAAAATATATGCATATTTCACCTTTAGATCCATATCTGATTCATTACTTAATTTAAACAACTACTGAAAATTTTCATGATTCCACATATTCACTTTGCAATAAAAGCAAATTATTTAAAATTTTCTCAAAACCTATCATGGGGGGGAAAGAACATTTTATTTCAATAGCTATTAATAATAATTATAATTGTTATTAAGTCTTCACCTGTTTTGCTTACAGTGACAGATTTAAATTCTTTGTCAAGCACTACAAGGGAGCAGGTTGCATCAAAACCAATGCCATGAACTAGATTAGGATCAACATCCTTAGTGATATCCTGCAAAATGTGTAGAGAAAATGACATATTAAAATATGCAGTTATTTATGAAAATACATAAAATATGATAAAATTCAAATTTGATAACAGAAGTGATAATACCATATGAGCATCTTCAGTACAGTAAATTTAAAATCTCTTTTGATGCATAAAGTTGACAAAAACTATACGTAGTTCTAATATTCAGTATGGTTTTAAATGGAAAGGAGGAATATATTTCTGAGATATAGATTAAAACTGTAAGGTTCCATTATATTAATCTAATCAGTTATTATGATTTAGATCTTTACTGTTACTTCTCCTTTGCATTTTCTTACCACAACGTAAATCCGGTTAAGACAGTGGCGTAGCAAGGGTGGGGCAAGAGGGGACATCTGTTCCCGGGTGCAGCATCCAGAAGGCGCCAAATTGATGCTACGAAATTTTTTAATAAAATGTTTTCCATTCTTGGCACACAGAAAGAGGCACAAATTCTTCAGTTGTTCCTGGGCACTGGAATCCTTAGTTATGCCACTGGGTTAAGATAAGGTTTTTCAGATTGTATGCATTATCATGGTGGAACATGCTTCCCTTGCTATTTGCCAATTCTGGCTTTTTCTCTTGAACTGCTTCCTCCAATTGCTACTTGTGTAAGTACTAGGAAACAGCTCAAAATACACAACACCTTTGTCCCACTAAACTGACAGCTTAATTTCTTCCGATACAATTCAGCTTTTGATTTGTGCCGATTCACCATGATTCTTTTTTTTTTTATTAATGTTATTGTAGACAATCCACTTTTCATCAGCAGTGATAATTCGTTTCAAAAAAGAGACAACTGCATTACATCTGAAATGCATATCACAAATACTGATTTGTTATGTAAAATGAATTTCTCTTAGTTCATGTGGAACCCAAATATTAAGCTTCTTAATGAGGCGAAGACATCTTTTGTGAAAAGACTGATTTTCAATTGTTGTGCGTGATACATTTAACTTTTCGCAATATCTTGCACAGTTATATGATGATTTGATTCAATTATGGTTTCAATTTTGTCATCATCAAATTCAGAAAGTCAGACAGAACTTGAGTCATCTCCAGAAACTGCTAGTCTCCAGAAAATGTTTTTCATTTCCCATCAGTGAACTCCAAAATGGAATTTTTCAAACCAGTTCTGATATTTGTGTTCTCTGTTAGGCAATTAACATCATAAACTTCACATATCTCTTCCTGAGCCACAGCTGCTTTCTTTCACTTATGAAAACAGAAAAGTAAGATATGTTAAAAATGTTTATTTTTGCATCTCATGTTAAATTTCACCATAAACAGTTGGAAACAAAAATGCATGTAATTTGTTTCTATAGCAATCTAAAAGTGTCATCTGCCAAAATTCAATAATTATTATTATTATTATTAAAAATTTACATTTATATATATTATATGTCCATTAATACACTTGTTTCTTTATGGTGGTATTAAATAACTTTGAAAATAATCCAATGCTTGCTGTTCAGCAGAAGATAATTTTTAATTTTTTTTTTTTTTTTTTTTTTTTATTTTATTTTATTTTATTTTTTTTTTTTTTTCCAAAATGCATGAGACAGATACAGCAATAACAGTTAATTTATATCATCATTCATAAAAACAGAACAT